GCTTCCCTCTGTTTTGACAATGGTCCAACATTGGTATTATTACAATAATGTCTTACGGCTTCCCTCTGTTTTGACAATGATCCAGTAAGACATTATTTTACAACAATTTATATTCCTTAATTATAATAAGACTACAATTAATAGTAGCAGAGTATATACTGGTTGGTCTAGAATTTTCAGAAGAAGCAGGATTTAACCTAGTGTGGTCAGGGATCAAGAGGTCCATTTAAAATGACAAAGAGATTATGTGAAGTGATTCCAAAGGAGACCTTAGATTATTGTTGGCAGGGGGAGAGTATACACCAGCTATGTCCTATGTTGGACCTATCAACAATGTATGCAAATTCCATCTTCACCTATCAGAAAAAAACAAAAAACAATGTATATGTTGTAAGCCTGACACCAAGAAACCATTATTGTGAAATCTCTTTCAACTTACATTTTCTTCATGCCAATCAGATCATCTTGGAAACTTACATTCTTTACACCTTCACATATATATTTAAAGCAGTATTAAATAAATGAAGTTATTTGAAGCTGAAATTGTCCCACTGCTGCATGCTGTGTCCTCTTCTTCACTAAAGAGTACAGTGTTGAATAGTGTTTTTTTTTTACAAATGCTAATCAGATATACGGTTTTGATAATCCTTTAAATGTACAATGGTAATACACTGAACATCTAATGAGGGATGAAGGTGAAGTTAGTAAATTATGATGCAAGCCTGACACCAGGAAACTGTAATATTGAAAGCTCTTTCAACTTATTTTTTTATCGAAATTAAATCACAGTACATGGTAAAAAAAAAAAAAAAATTAGGCAACTAGAGTATACAACCACACAGGTTATACTTCTCAAATAGGCAATTTACATGTCATTACTTGTCATATATATATTTTTGGCTTTAAACATGTCACACATATAAATAAAACTTGCATCTTCTGGCCATCCAAACACCGAAAAGGGAAAAAGTGCTGAAGAATACCAAGTGTCTAATACATCTGGATCTGAAAATGGAAAGAGTGTTATACATTTCTAATTTAGAGAAGAAGGAGAACAAAAATCACTTTATGTAATCTAAATATATTGAATGAAGGAGTAAGTTGGAAAATTGAAAATGAAAAAAAAAAAGTTGAAATTGAATAAAATTATAACCTTCTCCTGTGTATCACAACAACTATAAACTTTGTACTTTTTCTACTTTGTACAAACCTTCACTCAAGTAATAAATGTCTGCTTGAAGCTTTAATACCACAGTATTTAACTTTTGTGACATAAAATAAGCTAAATAACCTACAACCAGAAATAACATACCCTAACTTTTGCTTTCCAAAATCTAAGGTAATAAAAGCCATCAAAACATATATATGTAAGTCAAGTCACAAAGAGCATTATTACATGATACTACATTTACAGAAAAAAAACTTAAAAAGTTTAGTTTCTTACATACCCATAAGAAAGGTAATGCATGGGTTATCACTAAATATAAAGGTGTTAAAAATAAACTGACATCACTTGTATTTATTTCCTGAAAGATTACATAAGGTTTACGTGGATCATAACACTGTGGATGACCAGCATGCTCGGATCATGACACTGTGGATGACCAGCGTGCTCGGATCATGACACTGTGGATGACCAGCGTGCTCACATAACGACACTGTGGATGACTAGTGTGCTCACATAACGACACTGTGGATGACTAGTGTGCTCACATAATGACACTGTGGATGACTAGTGTACTCACATAATGACACTGTGGATGACTAGTGTACTCACATAATGACACTGTGGATGACTAGTGTGCTCACATAATGACACTGTGGATGACTAGTGTGCTCACATAATGACACTGTGGATGATTATACAACTAACGCTTAGCAACTTGATAGAATAATTCTTATACATGCTCCAAGACTCACAATGTAAGCAGACCTTGAAACATTATGCCTCAATCATATATTTTTAAAATATGATACCAGTGAATAAGTTATTGTAATTACAAAATATCTAAAACCCAATACAGTATGTTAAATATAAATAACCAAACTGTAAAAATAACATAATCATAAAATTTCTGCCTTACGATCTTGGCTGCACTACTTGATAGTGAATAGTTTTCTGCTACTTATAATTAAATTGTAAGCAACCAGGAAGAAATAAAACTTAAAAAATTGTAAAAGAAATCATTAACTGTGCAAAAAAAAATATCTGAAAATGATCAGAAGCAGTCAAAATTATTTTGGAAAAAACAGATTAGTTTCACTATAAAATTATACAACTATTAATGATTATTTTTCCACAGGCACTACAGTGATTTGTTTCATTAACTTGATATACAGCTTCAGATTTCAGAGAATAATGTTGTTTCACACTTTACTTAATACTGTTCATGATCTGAAATAAGTGACTACTGAAGGTTAATTGATTGAATTTTATAATAATAATAATATATCAGATCTCATTCTGATTACCATGATCATAAACTATTTCCTGCAGTTTATGCCATAACAAGCTTCTGTGAAGGATACCAAGATCAATCTTAAATTACACATCTTGAAAAACTTTCCACAATCCCTCAACTGTATGGAGGGAGGTTGAGAATACAGCAAAGTAGCCAATACTAGAAATGTAAGCTATCGAGCACAGTAAGTCAAAATGTCTTAGCAGTTTGTATTTTAACAGTTGCACTACAAATACCAAACAAATATACATATAAAACTTACAGAAACAAACACACACACACTATGCATAATAACTGCAAAAGTGCTTTTAATTGTACAGAAAAGTGTAACCATAATTTTAAGAAATTCTCCATAAAACCAGGTTATACACATGACCCTTCTGCTCCTATTGCATTAAAACCAAAACTAAAAAGTCCCTACTGAGGTCATTTGGAAATTAAGTGCACGTACATTTAGGACCAATAACAGATGGCACATCTTTGCACAGAGAGTCATGGATATCTGGAATAAACTGCCTAACAATATCACTGAAGCTGAGTATCTGGAATCCTTCAAGAGATTACTTGGATCATTAACCAAGTGAACAAGATGGGCCAAACGGCATCCTCTCATTTATAAACTTCCTTATTTTCCTACATGAACATCTTAATCCAATCCATAATTGAGGTTATTCTTGGCTTTATGAACTTGCAGTGGTATCTGGCAAACTGACATTAGACTGTGAAGGTTGCTTGGAATCTTACTTTTGAACTGGCAGTCTGAATTTTCTTTTCTCTTTTTTGCTATGCTTCTTTTCTTAGCCAAGTTCTCCTGACAGGACTTGTAGGCACTACGGCTTGGCTTTTACAAATTTGTTTTCTAATCCACCTTACTTTTATGTTTAAGTGTCAAATTTTTATGTAATTGAGTTGAAAGCACCAACTGAAAACTTAGTCATATTATGTTTTTGTACTCTAGCACCAACATTTAAAATAGCAGGTTCTATGAAATTGATCAATTTGGTCCAAAAGAACCACAACACCTACTTTGCAAACTATCATGCATATTAAATGTATAAACTATAACTAATTTATTTAAGAAACAAAAAAGAGAACTAAAATTGAATACCAAAATTTTGGGGACAAAAAATAATGCCAAAAAGTAATAAAAAAATTTAATAATTTTTAAGCTTTACAAATGTTTCATACTTGCAATCAAATATGACCTCCCAAACCTGATAATACCTTGTAAAATAAAACAATACAGCAGCAACTAGCTTTATCCAACAAACAGAAAAAAAATCTACTGTTTCTAGGAAAGTTGATCATGCACTAATAACCAATTAAGAAATATATATATATACACCTTAGAGAATGTTTCAATCATCCACAAAAATGATTTTTTCAACATTTGTGATACTGAAAATAAAAATCTGGCAAAGGTTAATTTAAAAAAAAAAGCAACAAGTTTAGCTTTGATATTAGACAAAAAGAAGACAACACTGAGCTAAAGAATAGAACTTATATCACAACAGCAAAATCTATCTTCTAGAGAAAAAAAATCCAAGCAATACAAGTATTCAAAAAAATATAATAAGAAAAACTCATTTATTTAACTCATCCGTGTTATTTATTTATTCATTTATTTTACAGCTAACATTTCTGTCCGAAAATTTGAAGTAAACTGAGGATGATGATGCTAGTAAGATATCTTAGATAAATATTGCCTGATAAGTTTATAAAATGTAAACATATTAGGTAAGTGTGGTTTTCAACATTATAATAAAAGTTTTTTGGTACAACTTACAACAGTTTTTGTAGCACTTAAATTAAAGTAAATTGTGCAGACTTCTTGGAAATCATTCTGTACTTTGTTGATTTTTGCTAGTGGAAATTAGTGAATAACTCCTTTATGTTAAAAACAAACAATTCATTTTCTTTTCAACTCCCAGAAAATTAATACTTTTAAAATTTGAAAGACAAACTGAAATTACCTCTTTCCAGCTGAATTTGATTCTGTTTCACTCCTAGCTTTTTACATGCTTTAAGTAAGGCTTCTTTTTCACTATGTGCAGCAATCCAGGTCTCTTTACTATTCTAATTTTGTACAATAAGAACACATTTCATTATTTATCTGTCTATAAACACAGCCAATTCTAAAATTCTAAGCATAGGCCCCATATTAATTTTTACAGACAAAAAAAAAGTCTCACTATAGAACATCTTGAGCATTATATTACACATCAGGATAGGTTAGCCTATGAAAATAAACAAGTGGTTATGTCTGTAGGCTTACCTAGATTTGGCTTTTTGTTGCATGTAACTAACAGTCTGTCACACTAGCCACTAGGCTAAATACAATAAATAATACGATTAATTTCTGAAATATTTCATACGCAAACAAACTTTTTACTTTGTCTTTGAGAATGAAGAGGTTTCCTAAATCACAATCATGAGCACAGTATGCTTACCACAAACATTAAAAACGTGTGTGATGCAGAGTACAAATAAGAACATTTTGCTTAAACTTCCACTATGCTTGATATCCACTGGGTGCATCATTTCTTTGTTTATAAATTGAGAAAAACCTATTTTTTACTATATATATACCCATAAAATAGTTACCTGCAACAATTAGTTAGTCAATGGACATCAGTCAACTGTATTCATGTTTTCTACAGTGAGAAAATTTCAACAGGAGAAATAATTTGATCTAAATTATTTATATTACTTTTTAAAAATCTGAAATATTCTTAATTCATTTATTTTTTTTTATAAAGATCATATTCAACTTTGCTTTCTTACAAAGTTTTGGCACAAGCTTGATTTATCTAACTACATAAATACTAGTGTGTCACATCACATTTGATTTCTCAAAATAGGTGTCATAAAAGCCAAAGTGCATTTATTCAGATAGAACTGTTCGATTACTGTCTGTCCATTATGATTTTAGTGATGGGGTGCATGGGAACTGTGAGGGGAGGGGGCGTGAAACTTTATAAGTGTAGCGAGTGTTGGTAAAATAAGCCTAAAGTAAAGGATCACCTAGCCTAGAGACAATTGTATACTGTTTATCATGAAAGTAAAAATATCGATTCAATTTTAAACTTACATCATATATGTATTTCTCTTATATCACCAACATTTAAAAAAAAAACTCTTTAATCAACAGAAACTAAATTAAGAAATCAACAAATATATTTCCAGTGTTGTTGTCTATACATTTCATTTTTTACTTTCAGTACAAAGACTAACAACAATATTAGGTTATATTTTTGTTGCTAGGTAACATGACATAAAAGCCATTGTACAAATGTAGTTTACCTAAAATGCACTGGATTTTCTATATATTAGAAGTTCTTAATCTAACTGATTTTAACTAATAATTATGCTATGAATACACCACCAATTCATATCATGAATGATCTTAATTTTGATCGGCTCACATAGAAAATTACCAATGTTTGACTGTCTCAAGTGCACTTTTCTGCCTCTTTGTTGGTCAAGCTTGATTTTGCAATATTATTTCAGTTAGCTATGAAATGTGAGGTTAGGGTATACTATGGGATTGGAGTGGTAGTACTTTCCCCATCAGTTTTGACAGGCTATACACCAGTGAACAGAATAATGAATGGTGGAGTACGTGTCAAGACATACGAGATGC